CATGCGCAGAGAGGGCGTCCGAGGTGTGTTCTTGAACATGTATTTCAATGAACAGAGGGTAAATCAACTCAGTTGATAAATTCAGGGTCTTGTGCGGTCTTTTTGTCATTTTCATCTTTTGTAGCAGGAGAATTTATGGCTTTTGTTAATAAGCTGTTAACTGCTGAACGAGCGGAAGCTTTTACACGAGAGTGGTTCACAGACGGAATAATTTCCCCGCTATATAGATGTATAACTCCTGTTAAGTTTGACAACGTAGATCTGCCAAATAATCAACATCTGGTTCTTTTGCGTGTCCGAAGACAAGACTGTCTCAGCAGTTGCATTGCCAATAGAGGGTACATTCTAGACACCCCTCCGTTGGGATCGGGCTTGCTGATACGAGCCCATCCCCAGTTGCCGTCCCGTGAAGTCCGATTCCTCCCAGTAGGAGGGCCTCACGACGAGACTCAGTATTTTTGTTTACATCCGTGTTTCTTGTGTCATAGCTTTCCGCCCACCGACGACGTCAGCCTCACGTTGGCTGTCTGTTTTCCGGTCTTTGTTCCTGATCTACTAGGGCACTGGGGGAAAATCGCTTCCCCGGTGGTGAGCTTGTCCACGACCGCTTATTCGTCCATCCCGAAAGTGTGGCTTATTTCGCGATTACCCTGTATCCCTATAGGGCGTTCCCCTATCCGCAACCTAGGGACGCGCCCGATGGCTTGCTTATGCGCACTGGAGCTATAAATACTTAAGGCTGGTGATAGATAGTAAATGAACATTCAAAGAACACGCAAACACCGTTGTGACTTACGTTGAAGGCGAGTAAAGTAAACCTAACCTACGCACCTCCTAGTAGTCTGGTAGTGGTAGATGACACATACCATACCATACCATATTCGTATGCGATGCTTCTTTCTCTAGGAGACGGGACGCCGAAATCCTCCTCGGCACCCAGATCACTAAAGAGAACCTAACCTAACCTAACCTAGGCTGATCCACGAGATACTCACAAGAAGGAACAAGATGAAAGGAAGAGTCAATCTGGCGAATAAGGATGAAGGCTCCAGTTAAACTACTAAACTACTAAATTTTAGTTAAGTTATTTATTTGTATGCCGAAGTGCAATTAGTTGTGAATTGTGGAAACAATAATGGGGATATGGGACGTTATGCGCTCTCTCAATGGATTAATCCATAAAACTAATGAACTCATATGAAAATGGGTTTTTGTATTTTGCTAGTTACTGTTTTTACATGAATTTTTTTATTTTTTTGTTTGTTTTACTGAGTAATTACGATCACTGTTTGTACTGTGTAGCGCGAGTGGTAGGTGATTGCAGCTTTTTCCCTTTCTTTCTGTAATAGCCCAAGGGTTTCTGCTATTATAAGTCCAATGATAAACTTGTATTGCTGAAAACCGCTCCTAATTTAATCCATTCAAACATTGTAATATTTGATTTGGTTGAAAAGGTATGCTCAAAAGTATAGCATTTTTTAAATCTGGATTTGTAAGTTCTGGTTTATTTTTGAAATTAATGTTTCGTCTTAACCTTCGTCTATAATAATATTACGAATCAAACAAATGGACTTTATGATTGTGGCAACATGTTTTGGATCAATTTATATTTCAGTTTTTAAACACCTCCATTTTGTTGATACTAAAATACCAAAAGTACATTCGATCATTCGTCTAGCACGACTTAAGCGGTAATTGAAAATTTCTTTTGTTTTGTCCAAATTATTATCAAAAGGATTATGGTCTTATTAGGTAAACTTTTAATGGCTATCCTTGATCACCCAATAATACAAATGGCATAGGAAAAGTTGAATGAGGTGGTGTTTTTTTTTGGTTGCAAGTTAAATGTATTTCCCTCCAAATGCTCATAAATATTACATGCCGTGAAAACTGCACTATAGCTTTGTCTTCCGTATGCTCCAACATCTATAGCAACGAATTTATACTTAGCATCGCATATTCCCTGTAGATGGACAGAAAAATGGTGCTTATATTATTATAGAACATGGAACCAGTGTTCTTTGGGCATTTTATACGAATATGTTTGCCGTCAATACAGCCCACACAATTAGGAATGTTCCATAGCATCTCAGTCTTGAGAAATTTTGTAAAACATATCTGTAGTTGGGAATGGCATGTGAATGTTGGCAAAAAGTTTCCAAATAATATTGCACGTATCATAAATAATTTCTCCAACTGTATTATGGGCCATACGAAAAGAAAATACTAAGGACCTATATGACATTCCGGTTGAAAGAAACCTACAAATAATTGAAAAAGTCCGTAAATAGCAAATGTCAAAATACTTTGAAAATTTATATGGTGTATAGAAAATTATGATGTAATACAGTCAGTGAAAATTTCATGTATCTACAGTCACCTGTTTAGAGTTATACCAAAAACTCTAAATCAATTTTTTCAAAAATCAATTTAGCGTAAACATTCGAGGTTAAAAAATATTAAATTTTTAAATATATAGGAACGGACTTTTTACTTATGAAGTTTAAATGTCGAGAAAATTTGTTAACCAAAAAAAATTTCATGGTTTATAAATCTCATTATATTAGTTATCTTTAAAAGTTTAAAGTTTCAACGTTTACAACTAGTTAACATACAATTTGCAAAAAAAAAAAAATTATACCATATCATCTTACGAAAATTCTTAAAAATATCGTATATTGACAAAATAATATCTCAAAAATTTGAAATTGTAAAACAATAAATTGTGCTATTTTGTTATTGTTATTGTGAAATTTTTTGAAGATTCATAGCTTAATATTATATTGTTAAACGTTTGTTGTTGACAACGGCTGAATAACTCTCCGAGTAGTTTTCGTGAATTGTTATAATGGTGTACTTATTACCATTGATTTTAAAATATACAGATAAGCCATCCTATTGTTAATATTGGTAGCTACTAATTGCTGTCAATATTAACTATTGGATGACTTATCTGTATATTTTAAAATCAAAGGCATTACGCATCAGGTATATTAAGAATAGTACGGGATATGGTCCCCAGAGCGCTAGTTTCTATTGGTGTTCAACGCAATAAGAAAGCGGGCGTCACTGTTGTCTGCGTTTTGTACCACTCGCTGCGCTAGTGTCGTCGATGCGTCTGCTATGAAACTTTCCATTTCGTCCGTTTGGCGTCCAACGGGTGTTCTCATCTCTCATTTGAACGTCGTTTCGTCTGTTGGATGGTCCTGTGTGGCAGTATACAAACTTACTGTCTGGTTGTAGTACAGTATTCTGTGTCGTAAATGCTTCACGATAAAAATAATTTGAAAATCTTTGTGTTCACACGCAGATCTGCGAACTACCTTTGCATTATTTCATCGTACTATTATTATTGAAGATGTAAATAGAGACGACGATGTATGTCGATAGTTGTCATATTTGTTTAACACTCGTAATGAAAATACGTTTGTCTGGTGTAATAATGAACACGATATCTGCGTGGGTACATTCTGTGTCTGCCAGCCGTTCCAATTTTTTTTGGCTCGAGTGCAGCTGGTTTTTGTAAAATATTAATTGCTGGAATTGCAATTCACCTGTTAAATATATGAACGTTGTCTTTGATTCAATATTGATAGGTGTCGAAATGTTTGCAAGACATTTTATAAGTATCCGAGTGATAATAATTTCAATGTTTTATGTCGGTTTTAAAAGCCGGTGTATACACCGTTTATGAACAGACTAATAAAACTTATATTGTTCAATATAAGAGTTTAATATTTTGGACAGCCATAATATTATTAAACTATTCAAAGTCAGACATTCGACCCTTGCTTACAGTGTGTTGTAAAAGTGTAAAATTAAGGGGTTGAATGAGAATGTTCTTAATTTTCATTACGTATCACGCATCATGTATATCACAAATATTATTAAGTATTTGAGTTGCTCACTAGAGCTGTTGTTTTTATCGGTGTCTAACGTTTTAAAAATGCTTGCACGTTCCACTGTTTGCGTTTTAAGCCGTTCGCTGCGCTAGTATCGTCGATGCGTCTACTATGAAACATTCCATTTCATCCATTTGGCCACTATACACCGTTCGTCCAGCGTTGCCAGATTTAGGGATTTTTCCTCTTTCCGGGGATTTTAGACCACTATAAGGAAATTTTAAGGAAACCGAAGATTTTAACTATTTTTCAAGGATTTTTCATATACTGGAAAATTACAGAAAAAAATTGTTAATTAATAATTATTTTATTGAACATAACACATCCTTAATGAGCTTTATAATTCTTTAATATCATCATTACAGTAAATTTTATTAAAACTGTATAGGTACTATGTAGTTTAAATAAAATAACTATTTTTAGTCAGTCTTTGAGAAAAAATAAATTTATAAACCTTTTATAAAAAATACACAGAACTGAAAATTATTATAATATAAGTAATTATAAAAATAACATAACAACAAATGAGTAGGTATACATTTAAAATTGTTAACAAAACATTAACTGAAATATAATGAACAGTAGTTAAAATAAAATAAATATTTTTAGTCAGTCTTTGAGAAAAAATAAATTTATAAACCTTTTATAAAAAATACACAGAACTGAAAATTATTATAATATAAGTAATTATAAAAATAACATAACAACAAATGAGTAGGTATACATTTAAAATTGTTAACAAAACATTAACTGAAATATAATGAACAGTAGTTAAAATAAAATAAATATTTTTAGTCAGTCTTTGAGAAAAAATAAATTTATAAACCTTTTATAAAAAATACACAGAACTGAAAATTATTATAATATAAGTAATTATAAAAATAACATAACAACAAATGAGTAGGTATACATTTAAAATTGTTAACAAAACATTAACTGAAATATAATGAACAGTAGTTAAAATAAAATAAATATTTTTAGTCAGTCTTTGAGAAAAAATAAATTTATAAACCTTTTATAAAAAATACACAGAACTGAAAATTATTATAATATAAGTAATTATAAAAATAACATAACAACAAATGAGTAGGTATACATTTAAAATNACATTTGAATTGGGTGTTTTTGAACCAACTTCACAGCATTTTTATCGCGTTCTAATCTAATGCATTTGAGAACAATGAATAATTTTTCTACAAAATTTTCTAAAGTAGAAAAACAGGAAATAACAGATTTTAGTTTCCCGTTGAAACTCTCTAATCTATTATTTGTTTTATTCATAAAATTTCCTGTCATGTAGGTCATGCCTATCACCCATTCATCCCTTATTAAATGCCAGTTTTTATTGTAATATTCCATGACTGTTTCTGGTGCTATAGTCTTCAAGTGTTGGTATAAATTATTATATTCCATTTCTGATTTACAATAAACAATACTTTGAATTACTTCTTTTACCGTGTCCCTTTCATTGGGAGTGATATTTCGCTTATCACAGGTAATTTCGCGGTTAAATGTTCTCAAAGTATGAAATAAACATATTGTGAGTGCGCTATTAGGAAAGACTTGCTTGATAACATTTCTTTCCTTCATGTCCTTGTCCGTTACATACACCCGAGTTTGTGCCGAAATTGGGTTTTTTTTTTTAAAAGTTTCAAAAAACCAGCGCAAGGTAACTTCTTCCTCGTTCACTAATAAGCCAATTGCTGCAATTTCACTCTGTCCGTTGCCATCCTCCGTCATTAACACATATACTGGCAATCTTAAGTCGAGCAGTTTGTAAGTAGCATCTGCAAAAACTACCTTTAGAAACATTGGAAATTTTTAGTATATACTGGATATTATATAATTTTGTAGTGTTTTAAAATTTAAATAAAACATATTACTTCAGGAAATGCTTCAAACGATTCAGTCATGAATCTGTCCTGTATAAAAACACCATTGAGGTTATTTGACTCATCTGTTGATATTTCAACAATACAATTAAATTTGGTCTTTAATTTATTAACAACCTCCACTAAATTGTTCTTTGAATCATTATTTCCTTTAAAAAATAAAATAGTTATAGTAATATTATAATATCATAATATTAATATCAAATTCTTAAGAAAACCACTAAATTAAATTATAATTTTTTCTTACTGCCTGTAGTATGAATATTTGATAAGTCTTTTAAAGTAACAATCTTCCCACTTTCGTTCATTATTTTATGTTGAATCATTTTTTTATTTGCTTTGAGGTCCATAAGCTCCAATACGGTGGCCTTATTTTCGGGGGTTATTTTCCTTTGGTTAGGGAGATGATCATACAGTATCTTGGAAACCTCATGGTTGTGGTCCTCAGTCATCTTTGTGATGACTAGAGATTTTCCATCATCTGATGCCTTCAGGTAAATGCCAGCATCACAGCCTTGGCGCATTGTACTTCAAACATTTTAATATTTTAAATCTTGAATTTTACAACTTAGTAATAAATAAATAAATAAAATAAATGTACTCACGATGTAGAACGTTGGTCAAGGGTTTTTTTTTTTTTGTAGCATCCTCCATGCACACAACAAAATTTAATATAATAATATTTTAAGTCACTGGATGCTGTCATCATTCTGCCATTTGGAAATTTCGCGTTAATGGAGGTTAATGTCTGGCAGTCTTTTATAAAGAAATCTACAAAATTCACGTCTTTGTAGACCCTAAAGCTGCTCTCGAACTCTTCAAATGATTTATAGCTATCTTGGAGCTTCATAATAATTATATATATAACAGATAATTTACTTTAAACACTGAAAAATAACTGATGAACACTGAATAACTTGTACAAGGTTAGTGCAATTAACTTTTATAGGTTAGTACAGCTTTATACTTATCATCGGGTTATACAATGGAAAGGATATAAAGGTAGGTAAAAGCCAAATAAACAATTAAAGTTTTCCTAATAAAAATCTATTATTAAATATTTAAATTACGCGCCCAATGCAGTTCGGTGTGATACTCAACAGGTAATTTACAGTGTGACCCGGTACAGTGTAATCGAGCGCCCGGTACTCTTTAATATATCCGGGCGCCCGGCGCTCTACAGTGTAGCCGGGCGCCAGGTACTCTATTACATGTCCGGGCGCCCGGCGCTCTAGACACAGTGAAATATAATGAACAGTAGTTAAAATAAAATAAATATTTTTAGTCAGTCTTTGAGAAAAAATAAATTTATAAACCTTTTATAAAAAATACACAAAACTGAAAATTATTATAATATAAGTAATCATTAAAATAACATAACAACAAATGAGTAGGTATACATTTAAAATTGTTAACAAAACATTAACTGAAATATAATGAACAGTAGTTAAAATAAAATAAATATTTAACTATCTAATAAATTTTAGGTTCATATATTATACATATTACATATTATTATACATAGTACTGGTATGCTTGCTAATCATATCGGAAGATATATTAAAGTTGTAGCAAGACTTCTGTTGGTTGTTTAATATATTTTTTGAATGCAATATACCAGTTATAGTAACAGTAGAAAGTCTATTACGGAGCTTAGTTTTATTAATATTAATTGTGCTGAATAGCCTTTCAACACACGCGCTGCTATGTGGTAATGTTAAAATGTATGAAACCAATCTGTTCATAAATGGATACTTTTCTTTATCATTACCATATTTTTCAGTCTTGATGATTTTCCAAAAGTCCATTAAATCCAAAGTGAAATCAATATTAGAATTTCTAAGAAGTCTCCATTCTCTATCTATGTCGTTCATATTTATATTTAATTTAGGAAAATGTTTTGCCGCTAAAGTAATGCTTACAATGGTTTTTATGTTCTTTGGTTCAATAAAAGAGAGTGTCTTCAATAATTGCATATGTGCAGAATTGAATGGGAATCTCTTGTAAATTTGTGAAGTGCATTCAACATAGAAATTCAAACAGTTGGAAATGAATTCATTTTTTGCCAATGTTGGAAACTTGTTACCATCAGATAATGCCAAAGTACACGATCCTCCTAAATATATTTCATTGTGTGTTAAAAAATGTGATGGATTTCTGTACTGTACTAACGAAATATCTACATTTTGAATATATTCAGGTTTTAAGTAGCATTCCAGGATGGATATAAATCCATGAAGCTACCATTCTATCATAAGCGAGATGTATCTGAGGACTTTGTGACTGAAATAGTATGTTTAAGGTGGTTAATATAGGTAAAACAAAGTCTAAAAACTGTAAGTACAGTTCAGTACATGGATTTAATATTTTTTCAAATATTTGATTGGCTTTTTGGTCAATTAGTAATTCACCTTGAAAATATAGTTTCAAAGCATTGAACTGTTCAAGAACTTTTTTTACACACGAATGAAGAGACAGCCAACGTGTTTGGCTTGGTTGTAGTAATTTATGTGGCTTACTTTATACAAAAGATTGAAAATTTTTAAATTCGGATTGCCTCTTAAAACTTTGATGCATGTATGTGTATACTTCTCTTATAAAATCTTCAACATAATTAGGTAGTTTTTCTGCAGCATATGAGGCACATAGTGCTAATGAGTGGCACATACATTTCATGACAAAAATGTGTGGAATTTCATTCTCTAATAATGTTTTTACAGAATGTCTGACACCAAACATCGTTGAAGCGCCATCAGAAGCGAATCCAATCAAATTATCTTTATAGGGAATGGAGTTATTATTAAAGAAATTGATAATTTCGCTGTAGATATCATTAGCAGTTGCTTGAGCCATCTCCTTTAAATAACAAAATTCATCTTTTACAACAAATTTGTGTAAATCAATAATGCGGACAACTAACGCTAAATGCTTAATAGAACTTTTATCAGTGGATTCGTCAATAAGTATGGAAAAGTATTGATTCTTCATTCTAAAAATTAGGTTTTCAAATGCATTTTTTCCAATTACTTGACTAACTAAAGCGGTCGCTTTTGTACGGTTACATGTCATAGTTTTTACTACTTCCGATTCTGGACATATAGTTTTAAACATTTGAACAAGGTGGTCAGATGTCCTTAGTGAAATATTGTGTTCAGTTATGAACATAGCTAATCGAATTTCAGCTTCTTTCTTTCTAAATTCAAGTGAATTATGATGCGCAATTAATTTATCGACCGGTGAAATATTGGAAACTGCCTGTGAATTTTTTTTATGTTTTTCTGAACCTGAATGTTTTCGCACAGCAGAAATACCACCGAGGTATTCATCACCACACACCTTACAATGAAAATACATATTACCTTTTTTGCCACTTGTGAGCCACGGAGAAAATTCTTTATTTTGCTCCCAACTTTTTCGGTACTTTTGCGTATAAGGTTTTTTCTTTGGCCAGTGTTTCTTATAACGTGTTCCAGGAGATTCATCACTTGACGACATTATAGTATTATACACAATATTTAAATGAAATTAAAATGTTTATTCTAAATATTTCTATTTTGATTTGACTTTTATGCCAAGTCAAGATTTGAAAAAACAAAAAAAGAAAACTACTCTACGATTGCTTGATGTTTGATATTTGATAACAAAATTGATAACTATTATTCTATATTCAATCATTATTCTGTGATAATAATAAGATTAAAGTGACAGTGACGCAGTGCAGGCTGTACTCATTACGCATGTACATTCTGTACTTCTGTAATTCACTTTGTACACTGTAATACAGTATTACTGTAGTGTATAAATTGTATTTATTAAGTTTAAGTGCATTGGGAAATTTTTTTAAGGAAATCCAGGGATTCATTGGGAAAACAAGGAAAACTGAGGATTTTTAGACATTTAAATAGGGATTTTTTAATTTTTTGTCTGGCAACACTGCGGTTCGTCGACCAACGGTCGTTGTCATCACTCGTTTTACCATCACCTCGTCTTTTGGTTGGTCCCATAGACCTATTAACTAAATGGACTGCGCCTTCTACACCCCCTGCCTACCGAAGAACTCAGACAACATCAGATAAGCAAAAAGGGGTATTGTGGAAGAAAAAATGAATTATATCTTGTTTCTTCCATTTATTATATTTCCCGCCTATCCATTAAAAAAAACAACCATTTAGAATATATTTTATATTATTGTTATTATATTGTATTTATAATATTAATTATAACATTTATAAAATCTCATGAACACAATTAACTAGGTGGGAATCAACTGGTTAAAAACTCATATTTACCTCATGTTTTTTATAATATTAATTGAAATAAAAAAGAAATATACCTTCATAAAATATTAGACTATCGTGATTATTAGGATTATAATTTTAGTTAAGTCAATAGTTAATAGTTGAAGAAGTTCATCATCCAATAATGAGTTGAATTAAGTTCTCATAATTTTTATTTGCATGTTAAGACTTCTTTTTTTAATCATGTGATGCAATCACTCTATGACAATCTGCATTATTTCAAGTTGTACCTTAATTTATTGTGTGTGTGTGTGTGTGTGTGTAATAGACCTATATGACCAAGTGGCGCTCGAACCCACAAATAAGATTATAATGCTCTACCGGCTGAGCTTGCCAGTTAGGTAAGTTTATATTATTACAAACAAAGAAACACATTTTTATACGCTAAACAATTATATATTGTTATATTATAAAACACATTGTTATAATAGATAATATAAAAAAAAATAGTAAAAATAATAATAATAACAAATATTTTAACTTTCATACATGTACATGTTAAATAAATATATGGGACCATCCATTAGCATACAAAATTTAATATTTATTGGTTTCTGAAATGTACGAGTTTGGTGAAATGAGAACGTATTCTCTCTTTTGGCTGACTTCTTGAGCTGTTAAAATGGTGTATCCGTATATTGAAGTAGGTTTTGAAAATGTCTCTGATTAACTGGATTAAATGATTATTTATTGGATCTTGATTGTATATGTGGTTAGAAATTTTTAAAAAGTATTTATTGATATTTATTTTAGAAAATGATTTGATAATGAATGTTTCTCTGATATTCGTTGCACCGCTGGTTGTATATACTGATTGTTGAGTTCGAAATACATTTTCAGCGATTCGTCACAGCTCAGTCACATCACTACTTGGCTTAATTAGTCTACCTCGATTTTTTATTGATATTAATGGTGTAGGAGCTGTACTGGATTCAGATAAAACTTGAAGACATTCTGAACATTTTGTTAATTTTAGTAATGTTTTTGTTACAGCTCCACCAATGTATTGGGTCGTGTCCATTAAATATGATACATATGGTGAGTTCTTTAAGTCCATATACAAATTAGTATCCTCAGCTGTCCCAGCTACACAGGTCAGCTCTAAATGGTTAGAATTTTTTTTTTTTGATGCACTAGTGGTTGATAATATTACAGTTGTGTCTTGTGATATACAATTTGCTTGAGAAGAAGTTACTAATTCATTGTGTATTAGTAATCTTTTGTATGCCGCTTCAAATTGGCTGGCTGTTGGGTTATCACAAAATCCACCACGAGATCTTATAGCAGAAAAAAACATTTCAATGTGGTCTTGTGAAACTTTGTAAGTTTAAATAAATTCTAATTTATTTGATTTTAAAACATCATCAAATAACTCGCCAAGACTTCTGAGGCATACTATTAAGCCATTGAAACCAGTTTTTCTTCCAGAATTTATTATTGGAATAAAATTATGTGATTTTGACACTTTATTATAAACTTTGGTCTGTAGGGATGATAGATATTCAATAGACGAAGAAATGAAAGACTTAAGAAATAACTCATTATTTAAGTAAAGTGGTCTTTTAAATTGAGTTTTACCCAAAAAATTTCTAGTGTTTAGAATATCAAAAATGTCATTTATTTTCTTGCAAAATTCTGAAGTAGCATTGGTGTTTTGAAAATTAGAAAAATTTTGTTCACTACAATACGTCAGGGCTTTAGCAACAGATTCACTCAATGTTTGAGCCGCAAGCTTTACCTTCATTTTTTCTTTGAAAAAATTGATATGTCTTGATCTAATTTTGGTGGCCAAGTGTAGTTCAGCATTTTCTTGTAAAATTACCAACTGCTTAAAT